CTCAGGGACTCGCCCTTGGCCCCTGGCCTCCTCTCGGGGCGCCCCCCCAGGAGTCCCATCCCCCACGCCCCAGCCACTCCGCCCCTCCAGGCCCCAGGGGTCCCCACCCACCGTTATGGAGTCGGTAAAGGTAGTGGTGCGCTGTCGCCCCATGAACCAGCGGGAGCGGGAGCTGAACTGCCAGTCCGTGGTGACTGTGGACTCCGCGCGCGGCCAGTGCTTCATCCAGAACCCAGGCGCTGCCGACGAGCCCCCGAAGCAGTTCACCTTCGATGGCGCCTACCACATGGAGCACTTCACCGAGCAGATCTACAACGAGATCGCCTACCCCCTGGTGGAGGTGAGGGCGCCGCCTTCCTGACGGGAGGAGGCCTTGGATGTGGGGGCCCAGGGGCATAGCAGCAGGTTGTTCTGAACACCTGACCCGGTCTCCATGGCACCCAGCGCTAAGCTCCTCCCCGGAGAACTCCAGGCCTAGGACCCCTCGCCCTCCACTCTGACCCCAGACCTGCAGGACCCTGGAAGCTCCAGACCCTTCCCCTGTCCGCCGCCCCGGAGCTTTCTGCCCTTAGCAGCCTAGCCAGCTGAATTCTCTCCTCAATCTCAGCCTCATCTTTCCTAGGGCAGTGTAACGGTGGAGAAAAGACCTCTCTCACTGGTCCCTGCTTGTGCAGAGGGCCCCTGGTCCGGCTTTGCCTTGAGGAAGGGAGCCCGGTAACTTTGTTCTAACCATCTCTTACCCCCTCAGCGCCTGACAGCTCCTGGCTTCCTAGGGCTTTAGCTCACACTGGCAGCTCACATACACATCCTGACAGGGAAGGGGCTCACATTTCACACATGGGGAGACTGAGGCTGGAGGGAGGAAACTTGTCCTTCCACGTTAGTTTCTGGGAGTGTTAGAGCCGGAAGAATGCCTCCTGTGTCCTCAAACTCTTTCTCCCTACCAGTGTCTCCCAACATATACCCAATTGCCAGGTTGAGGGTTGTTGCATGGAGAAAGGAACAGTCTGGGAGTCGCTTCACAGGGTGTGGTGGGACGGCGGAGGCCCTGAGAAGTCCCAAAGTGGTGAAACCAACTTGACTTAGTTAAGTCAGTGTTCTCAAACATGTGACTTGGGCGCTTTCAGTTTTGGCTGACTGGCTGGTGGAGGTCGGAGCCCCTGAGAGGATTGAGGTGTCCCTAGTGGCTGGGACCCGAGGAGATGATACTCAGAGGCTGAGGGGCAGCTCTCCCAGGACTTGGCCCTGGCTGCAGCGATAGCAGGTTGTCTGTCGGCTGGCCTGGACCCCCGGACTGGAAAGGACCTTCGGCCCTCCTCTTCCATTGGGTCCTCAAATGTCTGTCTGGTGGAAGAGGACCAGATCTCACATACGAGTCTCCACTGACCTGGGTTTGTGCTTCCTAATGCAGCCTGTTCCACCTTTGCTTCTGGGTTCCCGGAAGACAGATTTACACAGCTCTCCAAAGCCCTGACATTTTTGGCCACCTGCTCTAGCTCTGTCCCAGGGACACCGTAGAAATCATTTCGACAGCATGTTCTTCCTTGGCCTGGTCGGTCCCCACTAGAGCCTTCAGCCTTGCTCTTGGAATGGTCTTAGTTCCTCCCCATCCTGGAAAAATGTGTGTCCTGAGCAAGCCTCTCTGTCAGGGTCCCCAGTAAACCCCAGCCCAGAGAGGGAGGTACCGAGGACGCAGTGACAGGCCTATCAGACCACTCCTTAGCACTCTCTTCTCTCCTGACTTCTACGAGTGCGGACCCCTGCTTCTGACTGTTCTGCACAGCCTCAGAGTTACAGCATCTCCATACTGGGCACCACGTAGGCCTGGGGTGCATGTGAAGGACACACCCACTGCGGTCTCAAGCTCAAGGGCCAGAGAGCAGCGGTTAAGCTGATAGTTACAATCCAGAGTTGTGACTAGAAGCCTGGGGGACTTGGCAGCATGGGGCAGGCCCCTGGACTCGAGGTGGTGTGGGGTAGGGCTGGAAGGGACCCCCTGAGGAGGAGAGACCAAAGCTGAGGTCTGAAGGGTGAGAGGAGTCTGCCTGACTGGAAGGTGGAAGAAAAGGCCCTCAGGGTAGAGACCAGCATGTAGCATTTGATCTTTCTAAAAACAGCTGGAGTGGTTGTTCCTCATGAGGACTGAGGCCTGGAGAGTCGTGGAAGACCTTAGTACAGTTCTGGTTCCCAGTGCCTAGTTAACACGCTTTATCCTGCTGTCTCAAATTAAAGGAGCAGCATGCAAATCATATGCAGAACAGCATTCAAATAACACACAAATCACAGCCCAGGCTGCCTCTGAGCCAGGAGCAGGTACAGCGCTTCGGCCTAGGGCCAGGTGTGTGGCTCCGATGTTGCTCCCAGGACGCTCTGGCTGGTGGTTTGGGCCCCAAAGCAAGCTCCAGGGAGCCTGCTACTTGCGACCAACGCCCTGGCACTCCCAGTTGCCGCTTTCTCACTTTCTGCCCTTTCTGTTTTGTTCTCCACCTTTTAAATCCAGGCTCTGTTCCTGATCTTTGGTCCTTGGGTGGCCTTTTCAACTCTCTGGGGTGCTGTATGCCCAACCTCTTTTTTATTTTTTAGTTTTGAGGCAGTCTTGCTCAGTTACCCAGGTGGGACTTGAACTTCTGATCCTCCTGCCTCAGCCTCCTTATGGGCTGGACTTAGAGGTGTGTACCACTGCGTCTGGCCCAAGGTCCCTTCTTAGCCAGTGGGTCTGCAGCTTTTCCTCCTGCCCTCACACCCCTGGCCTCAGAGCAGCCACTGCTTTCTCTGCCTCGTCACCCACGGGCCATTTAGAATGGCTCTGCCCTGTCCAGGCTGAGGTAAGCCTGGTTTCCAGAGATGTCGAGGATAGGTAGCTGTCGGATTGGGACCTAGATGGGATATTCAGGAGGGAAAAGAATGAGAATATGGGGAGATTCAGGACAGATGTTTTAATTTTAGCAGTAGATAAAACGTGTAACAGTCTATAATGTGAGATGATGAGCATTATTGCTGAGGGTGACACCAAGTTAACAAAAGAGAGGGGGGGCTCCATTAACCATTGATTTAATGAAAACTCTTCAGTAAATAACGTGGGTGGCCGTGGCAGGACTGGAGTGGAGTCCAGAGTGGTGCGTTCGGGACCTGCTCTGTGTGTGCGCTTGTCCCAGGAGGCCTGCCATAGAAATACACCTGGAACTGTTGGCTACTGAACTCTAGAGCACCATTACCCTGTAGAATTTTCTGGAACAGTGGAAATGATCTGTCTCTGCCTTGGCCAATTAATTAGGTATTCATGAGCCACGTGGTAGTGAGTGGCACTTGAAAGAGGCCAGTGCTGTGGAGAAACTGGATTTTAATTTAATTTAACTTAATGCCCACATGTGGCTGGAGGCTACCACATTGGATGGCGCAGTTGTGAAGTAGAGTCCTCCAGTGCAAATACCACATGAGCCACATATACAACTTGTGGCCACATTTTACCCAGTACAGTAAGCCAGGGCATTATCACTTCAATAAAGTATAAGTAGCATATTGTCGTGATGTAAGAAATATCAAGCTGGATGTTGTGGTGCACAGCTGTAATCCAAGCACTCTGGAGGCTGAGGTTTGAGGCCAGCTATGAGTTTGAGGCCAGCTCGGGCTACATAGAGTTCAAGGCCAGCCTGAACTACAAAGTGAGACCCTGTCTCAAAAAAAAAAAAAAAAAAAAAAAAAA